TTATCAAAACTAAAATTGTAACTAAAGCATTAAAAGAATATAGAGGGGTTAGCATCTTTAATGTAGATAAATTCTGTCTGATAAATCCAGGCTTTCCTTCTATCTCCCCAGTTCACCTTCCAAACAATTCTTTCTTGGTTCTTAATAATTCTTAAAACATTCTCTTAGGGGCTGGCCCCAATCGGAACTAAATAGACACCCCCCCTCCCAGAAGAAGTCACTTCAGAGGACAGCACTGAAGCTACAGCTCAGGGAAAAGGACAGGAGCAAAGGAAGGGGGAGGGAGAGAATGGAGCACATCCTGGCCCACCAAGCCCTGAGGACGATATTCCTGCTCAGAGCAGCCAATGCACAGAGAGGACCAGCGGGCCGCCCCCACCACAAGACATGACATGCCTCACTGACCCATAGTGCTACAGGGGACAACACTGGAGACACAGTGTGGGAATTGTGCCCGATCTGACCCCACCACACAAAGGTGAAACACTAAGGACATGCAACAGAACAGCAAGAGGAGCAGAGCAATGAAGTCCCAGGAAACACCAAAAATAGACTTTGGGGCCAGGGCATGGCACCCCATCAGACTCAAAGGCAAAACACTCCTAAAGGTCGACAGACTTTGAAACTATTTATAGGCTTTTTTCTTTTTTTTTAATTAAATAATCATTTTATTAGGGGCTCCTACAACTCATCATAGTCTGTAGATACGTCATTTGTGTCCAGCACATTAGTACATATGTTGACTTCATCGTTCTTACAACACCCACTTTCCACTTGAGCCCTTCTTTTCTTTTTGTCAGTTTTTTTAATTTTTCTTGTTTTCTTTTGTTGCTTTGTTTTCCTCTTTCTTGTTTTTTGCACATATTATTATCTCTGCATGTCTATCTAGATGAGATAGGCAGGATAAACAATCTGGAGGAGAAAACAATAGGACTGATGGTTGGGGGGCGACATGGAAGAGTGGGAGGCTGGGGAAAGGAAGTGGGTGTTAACAAACCCAGGGACAAGGGAACAACAAGTGATCTAAAATCGATGGTGAAGAGGGAGTAGGAGTCTGTTAGGGCTTGATCAAGGGTAATGTAACTGAGAGGAATCAATGAAACCCAAATGAAGGCTGAACATGAGAGTGGGATAAAAAGAAAGTAAAAGAAAATAGAAGGAAGAACTAGGAGGAAAGGTCATTTATAGAGGTCTAAATACAGGCATGTTCATGTGTAAATATATTTATATATGATGATGGGGAAATGGATCTCCCTACATATATTTATAGGTTTAGTATTAAGGTAGCAGATGGGCATTGGGCCTCTACTCAAGTACTCCCTCAACACAAGAACACTTTGATCTATTAACCTAGCATTCCATGATGCTCACCTTCCCTACACGATCACTGAAAACAAAGCAGGTGCATAAGCAAATGTGGTGGAGAAAGCTGATGGTGCCCAGCTATCAAAAGATGTAGCATCTGGGGTCTTAAGGGCTTGAAGGCTTGAAGATAAACAAGCAGCCATCTAGCTAAGAAGCAACAAAGCCCACATGGAAGAAGCACATCAGCCTGTGTGATCATGAGGTGTCGATGGGATCAGGTATCAGGCATCAAAGACCCAGAACAAAAAATCATATCATTGTTAATGAGGGGAAATGCAAAGTAGAGACCCAAAGCCCATCTATAGGCAGTTGGACATCCCCTTACAGAAGGGTCGCTGGGAGGAGACGAGCTAGTCAGAGTATAGTTTAGCACCGAGGAAACATACAATTTTTCTCTAGTTCTTTAATGTCCGTCCCCCTCCACCCCCCACTTTCATGATCCCAATTCTACCTTACAAATCTGGCTAGACCAGAGCATGTACATGGGTACAGATAAGAACTGGAAACACAGGGAATCCAGGACAGATAAACCCCTCAGGACCAATATTAAGAGTAGCCATACCAGGAAGGGAAGAGGAAGGGGAAGATGGGGGGGGGAGGGAAACCGATCACAATGATCAACATATAAGCCCCTCCCAGGGGGACAGACAACAGAAAAGTGGGTGAAGGGAGACATGGAAAAATAATAATTTATAAATAATCAAGGGTTCATGAGGGAGAGAGGGGAAAATATGAGAAGCTGATACCAAGGGCTCAAGTAGAAAGAAAATGTTTTGAAAATGATGGCAACAAATGTACAAATGTGCTGGACACAATGGATGGACATATGGATTGTGACAAGAGTTGTATGAGCCCCCAATAAAATTATTTTTTTTAAAAACATTCTCTTAATTTTTTATTAATAAATCATTTTATTGGGGGCTCTTACAGCTCTTATCACAATCCATACATCAATTGTATCAAACTCATTTGTACATATGTTACCATCATTTTCTTTCTGCTTGAGCCCTTGATATTAGCTCATTTTTCCCTCTCTCAGCCACCCTTCTACCCTCCTGAATCCCTGATAAATTATTATTATTTTCATATCTTGTCTCCCTTCACCCACATTTCTGTTGTTCGTCCCCTGGGGGGTGGGTTATACATCAATCATTGTAGAGGGTTCCCCGTTTCTCCCCCTTCTCCCCTACCTTCCCCCTAACCTCATGGGATCACTACTCCCTCTCCTTTTCCTGAGGGGTTTGTCTGTCCTGGAATATTCTCTTCATTTCACAACACTCTGTATTAACAGCAGTAAGACATCAATTTCAGACTTCATGCTACTGTATGCAAAGTTATGGAATACAGTTTCCTATGACATCTCCTCTTCAAACAGGAATAGTCATACTTCAAATTATACTCTGAATAGAGGGATAATTGTCCGGGGCCATTCGGCTCAATCTTCACTATATTTTGTCAGAGCTTGCAGTACTTTTCCATTCCCGCCTACGTGACATAGTTTTGTGATTATGTTATCTCCCCTCTGAATAGCCTGTCCTTGGGATGGGCTGAGTTTAGCCTTCAAGTCTGCCTAGAAACAGATAAGGGGGTTTCCATACTTGGTGTGACGTTTTTTAGATAAAGCACCTATATCCTGCTTCCCCTTGATTGGGTAGGAGATTGTCTTCACCCTATTTACATATCTAGTGCCTGCACCTGATTTGCATAAAATGACGTGACTTCGCGTACCTGGTTGAAGACTGTAAACCGTTACTGAGGGCGCGCTCCCCCGGACTCCTTGATTGGTCTATTACCAAAGTGGCCTAATTTACATGTGCGACGGGTGTTTCCCTTCCCCTGGCCTATATAGGCTGCAACCTTTCACTCAATAAACGAGACTTGATCAGAATACTGTCTTATCTCCATTTCTCGTGTCTCTTGTTCCCCTCAATTCCCACTCCCTCCTCCAGGGTTGACATTCCTGCGGGTCAGGACAGATAATTGTGTCGAAAGGTTTTTCGTGAGCTTTTCCACACAGTTTTTTCTCAATGTGTGAATGAGAAACAACTCATTTCCTATCACACTTATTATATGTTGCTTTGCTTCTTCCAGCAGGAAAAAGAGTCATATTAAACAAGGGCAGTAAGAACTTGCTATAGTGGAGCTATGTGCTTGAGTATATGATTTCTGGTCATGGAACGAGGAAAGACCATTTTGCCCACTAATAGATTCTATTTCTTGTAACCTCCACGTAATTTAACCCAAGAGCTGGGGAAAGCAGAGCTCATCGAACTCTGCATGCTTCACTCAGCACGGGGCACTTAGAACAGAAAGAGACGTGTTGAACATAATGATTACAAGAAAGAGCTGTAACAGAGGATCTATTTTTTGTTTGGTTTGGTTTTTTGTTTTTAGGGTCTTATATTTAGTTGTGAAGCCATTCAGAAGCAAAAAAAAATCTAGAAGAGTGGTAACCTAGTCCCTAATAGCGTGGGAACCCCAGGTACAAACATGCTCACTTGGCAGGGCGAGCGAGCCGGGGTCCACAGATTCACTGCCACACCGCGTCCAGAAGACTCTGGCACCTACCTACACAGCTGGGTGAAAAGCTAGCAGAGTTTGAAGAGAAACAAATGAACTGGGATCTCTAAATTCAACTGCCCCGGCTCCACTGCCAGCTGCAGCCAGGCTCTGAGAAGTTGGAGAGTGGAGAAAGGCAAGGAGGAAAGGATGGAGGGGGGAGGTCATATGGGAAATGGGGAGTGCTGGGAAAGAGTCAGGGCCCCCGGAGTGTTGCTAGTGGCCACTGAATCAGCCCCTGACTCAGAACACCGTGCATAAGTGCTGCCCACTCCTACATCATCCTGTGATGGGTGGCAGATCTGACCAGGCTACTCCCTTGAGTTTTCATTGGCTGGTTTTGCGGGAAGTAGCCGGTCAGGTCTTCCTTCCGGTTCCATCTTGGTCCTGGAAGCTCTGCGGAAGCCTGTTGGACATCACAGCAACACACAACCTCCAGGGAGGGATGGCGGGGGCAGAGCCCAGGGTGCCTTGGCCAGAAACCCAGCCCAGGTCTCCCTGATCAGGGGTGAGCACTCTTCCACGCTGTCAGGGGTGAGAATCCGCCAGGAGCAGAAGTTGGCTTCTTGGCAACTTCAAACTACTCAGAAGGTTAAGGTCCCTCCATACAAATGGATGAGAAAGGAAGAGACTCTGGGCAGGAGACAAACGGACCGCTTAGCAACATGTAACGCCACCGGCAGCACAGTCATGTGTCAGATTTCCTCCTTTCCTGATGTTGCTGCTGTTTCGGCAGGAGCACTCTTTCAGGTTCCCAAAGGAAATCTGTACCCGAAAGGCCACCGTGTAGACGATGAGAGCGCAGCGGTCCCCCTGGGTCGGGACACAGCCCCTTTGCAGCCCGCGCATGCGCGTGAAAATCTGCGTGATTGGGGGCAGCGCGAAGCAAGGCCACGCGTCCCAGCAGGGCGGCAGGAACAGCCGGACCCTCTTCCTCGGGAAGAGGTGACAGGCACGTGGCACGTGGGCGTGCCCTCTCGTCCTCGGTCTCACGCGGCCGCCACCCGAGCACCGCACACGCACGCACACCTGCCACCGTCACGCGCGTCTGGCTAGCGCCGCGCACACTCACTGACCAGGGCCGGCAACTCCTCAATATTGGGCAGTGCTATTTCATAGTGGTCGGGGAATATGACGAGTTTGGCTTCGTCTTCGTATTCGAAATCGTCGCTGTTTAAATCGTCGTCCGTATCGAGATCTGAGAAAACAGAAGCAAGGCACAGGAAGTGAGGAGGGGGGCATCCCGAGGGCGGGCGGTGGCACTCACCAGGGCGAGGCGAAATCCGCGGGGAGCAGAGTGGCGGTGCGTGGGAACCCCCGCCTCGGGCAGGCCTGGCCCAAACCAGGCGTCCAAGGTCTCGGATCCGCGGGTGGGTGATGGACACACTGACTTCCGGAGAGAGAGACATTAGGAGAACGGAGTCGTGCCGCACACCCACCGCTGAAACAAACACGGGTGCTGCATATGCCGGTATTCACGCTCTTAATGTGATGTGTCCAGTATCTGGCCCTTGATTTCACAAGAATGCATTGGGATACATTTTACAGCCATCTCAAATTCTGGCTCCGAAACATGTTCCTTTGGGCAAGTCTCTAAACTTTCGTTTCCCCACATCCGTAGCATAAAGAAAATAAGACTAGGTCACGCGGCTTAAGTGAGGTACATGAGAAACTTAAGACAAGGAACCTGGTAAATAATAGGTAGTCAGTAAGTTAGGAACTTTTTTTTTTTCTGTAAGCAAGCCTTTTAATTGCTCTAATTTTTTAAATCATTTTATTCGGGGCTCGTACAACTCTTATCACAATCCATACATCCATCCATTGTGTCAAGACTTTCGTACATCTGTTACTATTATTTTTTAATCACTATTTCAATCTCTCCCTCAGCTTTTGTGTCTCTCCATCTCTGCCTCTGACTCTCTCCCTGTCTCTGTCTCTCTTCCCTCATGTTTCTTTCCCCACGTCTCTCTCTCCCAGTCTTAATCTTCCTCTGACTGGGACCCTCGCCCGAATCTCTCTCTCTGTGTCTCGGTCTCTCAGTCTCTTTCTGAGCCCTTAAGTCTCCCTCTGCCCACGTCTCTCTAGCTGGGTCCCTCTCGAAGAGGGGACTCTGTGAGTTGTTACACTGTAAGCCAGGCAGGAGCCACATATAATGTAAGTAGTCAAGTTACCCTCGGGCTATGGAGAATTCAGCAAGAAAGATGAGCTCCTCTAGCCCATGACCTATGGAGTCTATGGGGTCCGCATCTTTTGGCTGGATTCAATCTCTGATAAAGATTAGGTTGGTGAAGGGTCAAGAAAATGTCTTGTCACAGCGTTGACATGGGTATGTCCTTTGATGCCCACACACATGCCAGCATCCCAGACTGGGCTTGTATGTTTGCATGTTTGGAACAGTGGTCACCATGAACTACTGAGCCGTACTCCGTCACTCGGCACACACGACCACACAAATGAGGACCTGAAGGGAGCGGAGAGTGATTCCCCTAGACGGAGAAGCTGCCTGAGAGCCAGAGAGTCTGCATTCTGATAGTACTTTGCTGTCTGCCTCCAACCAACTGAATCTTTTGGAGGCCAGCATGGCTCTTCAAATATCAAAGGGGAATTTAAAGGAAAAGGAAGTAGAGGTGTTGCTAAAACTCAGTGTGAACATTGTAATAAAAGGTTCTAAGGAATTATTTTTAATAAAACAAAAGAAAAAAATTTTTAAAGAACTACCCAATAAAGAATTAGAAAGATTTTTAAAAGGTGACCAAAAAATACACTGTTAATAGGAATGAGGTGACTAGAGGAGAATAAAAACTTTTTAAAAAGAATCTAAGAGTTATGCTAAAACTATGGGCTATGCGTTTAAGAAGTAGCTATAGGTATTTAATGAAAGGAAATAATTCAAATAAAGCCTACATTCTAATTCCATATATGCTATAAAAAATATGAATGTACCATTAACTATAATAACAAAAGAATTGAATCATAAGTTTTCAATGAGAACAGCGTATCAACTCAATGAGGTATTCTTTAAATATTTAGATAGACTATGTAGATAGGTGGAAAATGCTTCATGTTGAAATTACAAAATTACACAAAGGACTTTGATCTGCAGGCTTCAAACCACCAGCTGCTCCACAAGAGAAAAACGGGGCTTTCGACCCCCCTGAGACAGTTAGTCTCAGGAAGTCACGGGGCACCTCTACCCTGTCTTATGAGCCGGGACTGACTCAATGGCAGAGGTGGGTGGATTTTTTTTTTAATATGAAACCAACTTTGTAGAAACTACACTCATAGACAAGAAACAGACAGAAACCTAAGCAAGCAAAAAGAGTAGGTGAATAACTATAAATTTTCATAGTGGGGGAGGGAGGGGCTAAAAGGGATCTGATATCAAGGAGTTCAAGAAGAAAGAAAACGTTTTGAAACTGACTGTGGCAGCAATTGTACAATACTGCTTGATGTGATGGAACTGTAAGAGATCACAATAAAATGATTAAGAAAAGTAACAATAATAATAATTATTATTTTAAGCTTTCCCTTTCTAAAACTTTCCTTATGTACATGTAATACTCTGTATACAACAATTTTCAGTGACCAAAGTATAAATCCTTTGTTTCTGTATTCATCTATGAGTCATGTAAAATATTTTCTGCCTCTTTCCCACAGTCCATATACTCACTTAATGCTAATTCAAATCTTACCGGACCCAAAATAAAATCTAGATAAATAAAGTAAAAAGTTGGCTACACTTATTTAGCCATGTAACCCTGAGCAAGTTCTTTCCAAATTCACTTTCCTAGTAAGTAAACTGTGGCTAATACTACTTGCCCCACATGGTTGTTGAAGAGATTAAAGTAGGGTATAGGATCTGATAGGTGAAAAATCAAAACCAAGTCACACCACTGCTGTAAATTTGACAGCGACTCACAGTCACCCAACAGACAGAAGGGGAGCCCTCCCCAGTTTCTGAGGTTGTAAATCAGGGGTGCCTCATCTTTTCTCTGCATAGCAAAATAATTTCCAAATTCATCAGCATCAAGTTCACGCCAACTCCTAGCGACCCTATAGGATAAGGTAGAATTGCCCCTGTGGGTTTCCAAGACTAATTCTTTACAGGAGTAGAAAGCCCTGTCTTTCTACCAAGGAACAGCTGGTGGTTTCGAACTGCAGACCTTGTGGATCACAGCCCAATGTGTAACCACTACAGCACCAAGCTCCAGGGAGATAACAGGGAGGGCCTCAAGAAACAGTAGCCATAACCACCATGTCAAGAACAATAATAATAACAGGCGATTCCTTCTCTTCCCTTTGGCTATCCAAGCTCCATTGTTCACCCTGAAATGTAAGTTTCTGGAAGACCAGCATGTGATGTGGGAATTTTCTATGGGTGATCTGACTATGGAGAGGATTCGAACTCAAATGTTTCTAGACTATAAGCACTGGTGCTAAGAAATGGGTCTTATTCATGGTCCTCATCCTTAGCACGCGCCACCCAGTGCACGTCTGCTGACAGAAGGTGCTAGGACACTACCGCCATGAAGGGCAACCACACAGAATCAGCACAACAGTCGCTTCGTGGACGAGTGAACTGGGTTTTAAAAGAAGCAAAACTACTGTTGTGCTCCTCCCCCCGCCTCCCCAAAATATTCATGGTCTTCTTTATATTTCTTGTCTATTTTTATTTTTAATTCAAGGAGATGAACTGGGACACCATGATATTCCCAAACGTGTTCACCCAAACTTGGGAAAAGTCCACTCAAGGTAAGCTACCCTCAGATTTCAAGGGCAGACCAGAGGTCTCCCGTGCAAGTGACAACTGAACATGTCCAGCTCGTCCAAGTCACCTCTCACCGCTCTGAAAATGTCCAGTGGGGGGTCATACAGAGTAACCACGCCCTAGAGACCCCTAGGACTGCTGCCCCACGCTCTTCCTAGAAATGACTTTCCCTTTGGGCTATTAATGGCAACACCTGAATAAGCTCTTTTTCGAAATTAAACAAAACACTAAACACTCTGCCACGGCGCTACTTCAAGACCCTCCCAATGGAGCGGGCACCACACATCCATCTTCCCAAGAAGTAACTCGTCAGGCTCTGAAGGAGCCCGGTGGAGAAATGGACCCCGAAATAAAACAGGTTCCAATTCCCAGCTCAGAGTCCTCTCAGCCAACCAGATTGATCTGGATACATCTGTGGGAAGTCCCCTAGCTGGTCCAGTGCTGTCCCCTTCAGCAGAGTGGACAGGAGAGGGAGGGAGGAAAAACAACAACCTGACGTGCAGAGCGTGTTCTTGCTCCTGCTTCGGAAGGAAAGTGTAAAGGGAGTCGAATTTATTTGAACTGTCTCATTGTTACAGGATTTCCTGAACAGACCAATTCCTGGGATTTTCATATGAGGTTATGAGGACATAAGTGGCTTGGACCCAACGACTAAAACATGGGTCCATTTGGCATTTCTTTTGGTGTTGGGATGCTCTGAAAAGAGGACCGTGATGCTTAAGGTTCTGGGACTGGAGAACATGTGGGAAACTTGACGTGAATGTTAAGCGCATAAAGAACCCTACTGGCTTGTGTTTTAGAAAGACAGTTCGCTATGAAGTGCAGGATTGTGAATTTAAATTTAAATTTTCATAAGACAATGATTTTTCCATCCGCTGATTGCTCAAATTCACAATCAAGATAAGATGCCAGGCAAACCCAAGTGGGGCTACACTCTGCAAAATAGTTGACCAGCGCCCCTTGCAACTGTCACACTGATTAAAGGCAAAACAGGCTGACTTCACAGATTGGAGGAGACTCTAGAAACACAACTAAAGGCGCCGTGGGATCCCAGATTGGATCCTGGGACAGAGACGGGGCATCCATCGGTCGGTAAAGGGAAATGATGAATTGAAGACTAATTAATAAATTTAGCTAAAAAAAACACAAAAAACTAAACTGACTCTGTTTTAAAATCAGCAAGGGGAGAGAGAGAGAGCGAGCAAAAGCAGAATCACAATTACTCTCCAGTCACTTCAGGGTAATGGCCTCACAACTTTAGACCCAATTGAGAGAGGAGCGTCAAGAACACCCTTCCCTCTCAGTAAACAGAGAAATTGATTTAAATTTGCACCTTTGATCCTTACATTGTAGAGCAATAAGCAACGTGGTATTCGAAATTAAACACCTACAGAGAGGGAGGAAGGGAAGCGAGCAGAGGGAAGGAAGCCTAGGGGAAACTGATTGTTTACATTACCTAAAAAAATCTTGGAATTCCTCCGTTTTGGCAGAGCTCCGCCGGACGCCCCTCTTACCTTCTGAAAAAGACAGAGGAGATGGTTAAAATGAGTCTGTGGGATAAGAAACATTAAGATGGGGCAGGGGGTGTGGGGAATGGGAAGGAAGTACTCGCAGATTCCCAGTTTCGAGAAAAGGCCAAGAAGAGATATTCAACCTATCTGGGAAAAACAGGAACTTGACCCTGATCATGAAGGTAGGTGAAGGGCAATGCTATTGTTCCACTTGATCATTTTACCAACAACACAGAAAGTACTTCTGGGGACTTCTAGGGAAAAGGGAAATGAGAAACCAGGGATTAAGGTAAAGCAGATGCTTAAATTTCCAATCCACATGGGCTCCCAAGAGGTCTGGCTTGAAGCTTTCATTCCAGGAAAGACGGTGAAGACTGGGGCGGCTGAGCCTCTTGTTCCCCTGCCTGCTGGTCCACTGGGCTCAGCAATTATTACCGAAAGACTGAATACCTGTCACTGAATACGCACAGAGACTCTGGTCAATTATCCTTCACTCTAATCTTCATAAATATTTTGGAGCAGATAACTACGTTTGCCCGCCTGAGCTTCATGAAATTTCTAGCTCGGGTGGGGTCCCTGTCAGCAGTCAGTGGCCATGACACGGTTACACTGATTATGTGTCATTCATTACCCTTCAGACACGCACACACACAAATTTTGCTCGCATATATAATGATCATAACTTCTGTTCCACAGAGGTCGAAAGCCAGATTTCTATATTTTAGGTATTTTCGGTTATTAGAACAACTTTTCGACACACTGTGGGGTGTGAGTCTGACAGTTTTATGTTTCCAAAGAGCCACACGCGATGGGCAGCACTGCGTCCTTGCTGTCCACCTTGCTGTTCTCTATGGTTTCTGCTCGCCGGTCTCCAGAGCCCTCTCTCACGTCAGTGCTGGACCTGCCAGGCTGACTCGTGCTACATTTTTAATAGCCTCTACCATAGGTGGAGAGTTGGCATCTGAGGAATGTGAACATTATAGAACACTTTAGCACAAAAGGAACCCTGGTGGTACCGTCAGGGTAAACACTGAACTGCTAACTGAAAGGTTGCTGGTTCAAACCCATCAACCGGCCCTCAGGAAAAGGTTGATGCTATCAGTTCCTCTAAAGATTTATACTTTGGAAAGGCTATAGATTACAGGGATCTGTACATGACCTCCTCCCTGGGGGACGGACAACAGAAAAGTGGGTGAAGGGAGACGTCAGACAGGGCAAGATATGACAAAATAATAATTTATATATATCAAGGGCTCATGAGGGAGGGGGGAGTGAGAAGGGAGGGGAAAAAATGAGGACCTGATGCTGGGGGCTTAAGTGGAGAGGAAATGTTTTGAGAATGATGAGGGCAATGAATGTACAAATGTGCTTTACACAATTGATGTATGTATGGATTGTGATAAGAGTCATATGAGCCCCTAATAAAATGATTTTAAAAATAAGAAGAAGGCTGCTGTGAGTTGGAAACTACTCCGCCACCGCAGTGGGTCTGGGTTTGCAGCATCAGTGCAAAAGGAGCCCTAGAGGTACAGTGTTCAAGCACTCAGTTGCTAAACAAAAGGTCAGCATTACAAACCCACCAGTCACTCCAGGGGAGGTGTGATGGTCTACTTCCACAGACATGACTGCCTGGGAAACCTCACAGGGCGGTTCGGCTCTGCTGTTCAGAGTGGCCACATAGCCATGAGGTGGAATCGACTGAATGACAATAGGGTTGTGTGTGTGTGAATGCTAAATGCACATTTCTCTTAAGCTCTCTCCTTCGTAGGCTTCTCCCTCCCATGAGTCTGCACCAAAAATGGCTGAAATAAAACCTATACCAAAGGCCAATTTAACAATCTGCACTTAATAACCCTGGAGATCACCTGAAATCTGTCTCTTTGTACCTTTTAGTATGAATTGGCTGAAGGTTTGCAGAGCTAATCGAGTTTCCATTTAACAAGTCACACACACGTTGTTTCATGTCATTGATCGCAATCTCTGTAATGTAGCAGCACTTTCCCCACTTCCTCCCTGTGTTTCCTTGATCCAGGCATCCTCCTTTCCTAACCCTTCTGAACTTTGCTCTTGGAGAAAAGTTGAGCTTTTGGTGGCCAATGGCTGATCATGCTCAGGCGTGTGCACCTCATTCATGTTCCTGTCCAGGTCTTCTATACCTGCCGGTTGCTTGCTTAATACTGAGCCCTGGGGGAGAGCTCATATCCAGATCTGAAGACTGTGTAAGGGGCGCAGTCCCCAGTGTTTCGCAAGTCTCTACAAAACCAGTTACGTCTGGTCTTTTTCATAACATTTGCATTTTGTGCCATATTTTCTCCCACTCCATTCGGGACTTTCTAATGTGGTGCTGGGTTAGTAGTGGTAGACAGGTACCATCGAATTCTTCTGGTCTCAGGGTCATGGAGTCTGAAGTTCATGTGACCCATTAGTCCCGCAGACTAACTAGTTGTAGGCAGCACTGGTTCTCTTCATTCTTCTTTGCTCCGGATAAGGAGAGACCAACAGTTACACGGGATTTTTGTAAAGTTTTATTGGCACTTCATCCACATGTCATGAAATTCAATAATTCAATCACATCAAGAGCTGTGTAATCCTTGCCACGATCAAGTTTATAACATGTTCTTCTTCCTTGGACTCACTGTTATTCATGTAATTATTCTTTTTAATTGTGGCAAATATATACCCAACACACCATTCTCCAATTCAGCAACTTCTACATGTATCATTTAGTGCAATTGAGTATACTCCTCGTGTTGTACAGGATTGCACTTTAGGGGCTGCTCATATGCTTTTCAATGGCGACTCACCAAAATGGGATGGGGGACATTGTATGTGTGGACTGTGGTATGCCAATTGACCTTTATGTCCCCCAAGACCATGGCCCTGAGTCCCCAGGTCCAGTGATTCATTCCCTCAAGGTGTTTAGTTATGTCCAAGAAGGGGGGCATGACTTTTTCCCCTATATGATTTACTATACTCACGGTTACATTTGCAGCACATGTAATTACATATGTAGAAGTATCTTCTGTCAAATATGCATGCTAGGGGGTATGGCCCCATTCTCTTTCCCACATCTGTTCAGCTTGCCGATATTGTTAGTGCTGCTGTTATCACAGGATGGTGTGTGGCGTCTCCTTAAAAAGTTGGAAATGCCGTCTGATCCAGCCATCTCACTCACTGCCATGAAGTACTAAATACTCAAGTATACTCCGAGTTTCTCAGCACATTTTTATGCAGTTTTTGTGGTAACATTAGGTGCCTTGGCTGATATTCAGGTCAGCTTATAATCGAGTATATTCAGTATTTACCTCTGTTGCCCGTAACTCCTCCCAGTGTCTTCTGTAGTGTTGCTCATGTTGTACTTGCCTCTCCCTAATTGTGTATTTCCTTTCCTTTCACTCAAGCTACTAAATGTGTAGTATCTAGTTAATGCTGTCCATTCCCTCCCCCTTCAGGGCCTGGTAACCATCAAGTCATATTTCCTTCTGTATATAAACTTTTTCTTTGCTTTTTATAACAAGTGGCCTCTTACGTTATTTGTTCTTCTATTGTAGATAAATTTCACTCGGCACAATATCCTCCAGGTCTATCTACATCATGAAGTGCTTTGCAGATTCATCGTTATACTTTAATTCTATGTAGCATCCCACTGTGTGTGTGTACCACAGCTGGTCGTACGTTCATCCACCAGTGGGCAATTAAATTGTTTCTATCTTTTTATAATTGTGAATAGTGCTGCATTGAAGACGGGTGTGCATTAATCTATTTGCATCCTGGCTCTTAAAGAATATATACCTATTAGTGAGATTACAAGAGGTTCTGGCAGGGCAATGGGTTGGCATACTGGGCTGCGTGCAAACCACAAGGTCAGATACAGTGAACCCTCGTTTATCGCGGTTAATCGGTTCTAGACCCTACCGTGATAAATGAAATTCCGCAAAGTAGGATTCCTTATATCCAAAAGTTTTACCTTTTCCTGGATAGTGAGCATCTTCCTCTGGCGCTTATTTTTATTGTCAGAAGGCTTAGAAGAAGCAGCTCGTTTAGGAGCCATCATAGGGCTTAGATAAAATTTCTTAAAAATCGCAAACAACTACAGTACACTGTACAAAAGCAAAAATGCATCTGATACGTAGCTCTGATACGTAGCGATGCAGACAGAAGCGTGTACAGTATGAGCCAATCAGTGGCAGTAATGACAGAGCATGCGCTGTTACGCAAAAACCGCGAAAGAGTGAAGCCGCGGAAGTTGAAGCGCAAAGTGGCGAGGGTTCACTGTATTTGAACCCAGCAGCCGTTCCACAGGCGACAGATGAGGTTTTCCTACAGAGGCAGCTCCACGCTGCACTGCAGGTTGCAAGGAGCCAGAATCTACCCAATGGCAGTGACTGGGACGGCTGGATCACAGTGAGTTCACAAGTTTTTAGGGAAACACCAAATTCTTTTCAAAAGTGGTTGTACCATTGTACAAGCCCACTCAAAATCCCTTTAAGAACGTTTATGGTGTTCGTTTAATTGTTCCAATCTCACTGCCTCTTCCACAACTGCAAGAAAGTAAAGAGAGAAAGAAAGAATGGCTACTTGATGCCTGGCTCTAAAATCAGCTTCTCTCTGGTGGTGGCATCCCACCGTACACTTGGGCCAACTCCCCTTATTCTCGGGGTGGCCAACTCCCCTAGATCTCGCTTCCAAGGACCATCAGCTCTGCTCCCACATCACCTGAACCCTAGAAATCAACAGTTTGCTACAGTGGACTTCCTCGGTCACCAGACTAGACTGTGGGCACGGCTGGGCCCTGTGCCAAAGCTTAGTGCAGAATGGCCAAGGACACCTCCCATCTCTCAAGGAGCTCACCAACAGAGGGGGAAATAGACGTGTGAACAGCCAGCACAGTATCTTTTGTCGAGTTGTCAAAGAGGGTCAAAAAAGGCACGATCATGTCATAAGGAGGAAATGATCTCTGCCCTTGCACAAGAGGAAAGCAAGCTTGCCTATTAAAAGGAGTAACA